GGGGTCCCCTTATACCTCCCCAGCTCGCCATTAAAGACATCGGCGTAGTCCGTCAGGACGGCCGTGATGTCAGGGGGCGTGTCCGCCCCCGAATTCACCCCAGAAAGGGATAAGCTCAGGGGGGTGAACCAATCTAGGCCCAAGAGAGCCGGCAGAGGCTTCTGTACCACCAAAACCTGTAGGAAACAGCATTTCCCCCCGTACTGCACCCGCACCCCATAGCAGCCAGGGGAGGAATATGAGTCCCTTGGTAGTCTCGGAGCACGGTGTCCGGGGGAGACAGCTGCGACTTGGGGACTCGCGGGCACAGGCGGGAGAAAGTGGCCCATGACAGGAGACCCGGGAGGAGCCTGAGTCCACCTCCATGAGGCAGGGGGACCCTTGATGGAGACGGTGACAGTAATTTTCTTCGTACCAGCCATGGCTTGGCTGACTGACACTGCAGGGGTGGCAGGAAGGTCTTACCCCAGGGTGTAGCAGTCGGCTCGGCGGGTCTGCTGGCAACGGGGCGGTTGGTTCCTGGGTGGTGCAGGCGGACCATAGACCGGTAGAGACGGGTCGGCTTGAGCTGGAGGTAGCAGGGTGGCCCAGCAGACTTGGGCAAGGTGCCCTTTCTTGCTGCAACGGCGGCACATCGAAGCCTTGAAGGGGCAGGACGCCCGGGCATGATTGCCTCCGCAGCTGAGGCAGGCAGCAGCCGCCGCAGCGGTTCGGGCTTGTGGAGGCTGTTGCCGCCAGGAAATGGCTCGGAGGCGGTCGACCTGGCCTTCATAGATTGGATCCGGCAAGGGGGCCAGCTCGTCTATCAAGCAGGTCGATTGCGGGGAAGTCAGCGGAGGCAGAGGTGTTGCTGCAGGCAAGGGAGGCAGGTAGCGGGCCATCTCCACTGTTGACAGCTCCGATAGTTCTGCAGCCCTAGCCTTGTCGACAGCCTGAGTCAAAGTAATGTCTGCCTTGGAGAGGAGGCGCCGCTTGAGGTGGATGTCCTTCACCCTGCAGACAAATTGCTCAACCAGGTGGTCCTCCAGGTCGGGGAACTCGCATTGAATGGTGGCTACCCGTAGCGCCTGGAGGAACTGGCTGATCGATTCGGATGCTTTTTGGACACACCGGCGGAAAGCGTACCGGCGTGTGATCTTAGAGGGAGTTGGGGGCATAGTGAGCCTTTAGCCCCTCCATGAGCTCATCCCAGCTTAGTTCGTAGACGGGGCGCAGGGCCGCGAAGGAGCGGGCCGTCCCGAACATCTCGGGGCCGCAGGCACTGAGGAAGAAGCCGCACTTCCAAGCCTGTGAATACCCCTGCCGGTTATTAGTGATAAGGAAGCATTCAAAACGCTCCAGGAAGGGGGCCCAAGACTCGCCGGCCGTCCCGAACGTAGGCATTGCAGCCATAGTGAGATGCCATAGAAGAGTAGCGAGCCGCGGCGAGAATTGTCCGGCAATGCGGAGTGCCTAACAACTGCTTGCTTATCTTTATAGGTTGTATCTCAGAGCCTGAGATCCCACCAGCTCGTCGCCAGTGTTAAGTTCTCTAGAAGAACGAGGCTGGAGGCATCTGAGGTAAGTTAAACTCAACCAACTTTATTAACAGGCATTCGCAAACAAGATCAAGTAGACCTGCACCCCCTCCCTGTCTGACAGCTATTTATACGGAGCTGTCAGAGAGGGAGACCAATAGCTGCATGTTTGACAGCCCGGCAACTGCAGGTTGCGCCTGATTGGTTCCAGCGCGCCTGGCTGTTGCCAAGCTGCCATTCGTAAGTCCAAGGACTTAACAACCATATGCACAACCAATATGAGATACAGAACAATGTCCATATTTTCATCATTCCAGAACAAACGTTGGCAAAAAACAGGCAAAGTAATTTGATAGATTGCAATTTCAGTTATTTATAAATTGTAAGGCATGGCTTCCAACATTCAATTGTTTAAACCTGATTCTATGAGATAGATAAAAGAACTGCATTTACTGTAGAAAACAATTGTATTTCTTTACTTACACAGCTACTGGTTTTTCTATTTTAGGGATGACTCCATCAAAAATAAAGCTTCCTTCATCAAGCACAAAAGAAAGTTGTATCCCTCTAGATTCCAGCTCAGCCACAATTTTCATTGCTCCTTTTTTACCACCCACCTGAAAGGGAATTAGAATAACATTTTGCTTGGCTAGTCTTTTAAAAGAAGGCAATTATTATTCAGCATACGATGTAAGTGATTTACTAATTATAGCCCAAACCACTGAAGTTTGAATTTAAAGAGATTGTACACAATCTCATTTAGAAAACTGCTATAGCAATAGCACTTAGACTTATATACCACTTCACAGCACTCTCTAAGTGATTTACAGAGTCAGCATATTGCCCCCAACCAGGAGTGGGTTGCTGCCAGTTTTACTATCGATTCGCAACCCGCTTCACTAGTGTGTGTGTGTGCTGTTCAATGAAAATTGTTCTTTGCTCATGCACAGAACAATTTACAGTGAACTGTGCATGCGCAGTCACTAAAAACTAAAATGGTGGCCGCCAGGCAGCGACAAGACAACCGGTTTGGGGGGCGTGGCAGGTTCTGCAACCCTGGTCTGAATTCCATTACCGGTTTGGCCAAACCGGGAGCAACCCATCTCTGTCCCTAACTATCTGGGTCCTTATTTTACCAACCCTGGAAGGATGGAAGGTGGAGTCAACCTTGAATCTGTCAGAATCGAAGGAATCAAACTCCTGGTAATGTGAGTTGAGTTAGCCTGCAATACTACTTTCTAACCACTGCGCCACCATGGTTTTATACTGTATATCTAAGCTATCTTTTCACATGTATCTAAATCCTAATTGGATAATTTTTTAAAAGATTTGTTTATCCAGTTTTTATTATTTTTATAAATGATTCAAGGCAACATACATACCTAATATTCCTTCCTTCTCCTATTTTCTTCACAACAACCCTGTGAACTGAATTGATGACTGGCCCCAAATCATCCAGCTATCTTTCATGCCTAAAAAGGGACTAGAATTTACATTCTTCTAAACAAACAAACAAACAAACAAACAAATAATACCTCTTCATCATGCCCAAGGCCTATATAGAAAGATCTTTGTGGTCTGTAATTTCGTCTCAGTAAAAACTCTAGAGAATGTAGAATGCCCTGAGGATTAGAAAGAAAATAATAACTATTTTACATTTGGTTTCACAGTGAATTGTACCATATATGGTTATTATCAAGAATTAGACTACCAGAAAGCAGAGCTCATACAGAGACTTTAACTCTATTCACTAAAGGCTTTTGACTATTATGGAGCTACATAGTACTATCCACCCTTGAGTGAGCATAATCCAGTGAATCTCCTGGAATTGGGTGACCAATACATGTAAATAATATTTGGCAAGAAATTTGCTGTCCCTATAGCTGATCACTATCCAATAGAAACCTCTATTGCCTCTGTCCCTAGTTATCTTGCTTTTCTTCCACAATAGCAGATGGTGAAGACTAACAGATTTTACACATTTTACATTTACTCCTTGAGGCTGCCCAGGGATGATATTAGAGCAAAGAGGAAAATGCTGCTTAAAGACTGGTTAAGCCAGTATCACTCATGGATTGGGGATGAGATGAAGGAAGCATCATCACTGGAACACAGAATACACGAAGAAGAGGTTCCTGTGTTTGTGTTGTGTTAGATGCAAGTGAGTGTGTGTCCTAGGAACCTTTTTGTATCACCTATCTTTATGTAATCTTGCTTCCTTTTCATTGAAGAAAATAAATTACTATACCAAAGACTGTGTGTGGATTTCTTCTCTTTTTTATATATGTTTAAAATGTTGTATATATATATATGCTGCCTACCATTTCTAATAATCCCCCCGGACAACTGACTCAATCATGCAATAAATAATGCTTTGTTAACATCAGAGCACGGCAGTAAAATCTGTTTCGAGCCAACAGCTATAATTGCCTTTGGCAGCATGCCATGAACAGTACTCCAAAAGTGAAGTGAGCCAAGGCAAAAACTATATTTTGTTTAAATTAAATCTACTTAGTCTCATCATGTATTTAATCATTTTTCCCATCTGCCATATTACAGACAGGTCAACTTGGTGGCAGGCGTTTCGTTTTGAAGCTTATGAATGCAATAATGGGCTCTTAAACCTGGGATTAAATAATATTTTATTTTTCTCAGAAGACGTATCTCATCCGTCCTCAATCGAAGTCTTCTGTGCATCAGCATACATGTTAAATAGGTTGTTATAATTATCTAATAATGGTCTATGTGACTAATACGGTATTAATCAGACGGCTCTTCTTGCTTGTTTCTAGCTTTGAATCAGCTTTCATAGAGAGTATTGGGATAGAAGAAGGATACTATTGCTTTTCCCTCGTTTTCCAATCTGAGTTAGAGTAGCTGTTGTTCTCTGATCTTTGAAGCTCTGCATTTCATTAGATCCATGTCAATCATGAGTCAATTCATTTCCGAAAGGCTGTTTTAATCACTAGTTAGCCAGATTGTTGCAACCAGAGAAGTCAGCAAAACTGATTAACACAGTAGGAAATGTGCAGTCCAGCTCCATTTTTGCATGCCTCTAAGTCCACTAAAATCACACTATTGCAAGGGAGGTTCAATTTGCCAATATTTTTCATAGTGAAATGAAAGTATTTACTACCTTTAATCGCCAAATGGCTTAACTCAGCCATAAAACCCCAACCCAACAAATAAAAGAGTCACAGGCCACATCCTTTGACTCTCTTTCACTACTTTTCCATTTTATCTTGTGTCCAGCAACCACTTTTTCACTTCAAGGTGGCATAGGTGACTGTATTTCCCTACAATCATCAATTTAATTTATTCTGGAAAAAATAGAACCATTTGTTCAGTGAAAGCAGGAAAATCCAGTGTAATTTCCATCTTTTCAGTTTCAGTTTTCCAAGAGGAGCAATTGTTGAAGGTGTATCTAAGAAGTCTGTAAGAAGCTCAGCCAAATGCAATTCTAAAACCAGTAAAATTCTTTAGAAAACTGCAGCATACAGAAAGAAAACTGACTGCTTCTCCCCTTACTGTGTAATGGAAGCCATGATTTATCATAAATATGGTACATAAAATTTCATAGACTCCTGCAACTCAGAGTATTTCTGCATCCCACCAAAAGGAGATAAATTGATATACCATAGCTGAGTTTTTATTATCTAGTGTTCCTCTTCCATATATAAATCCATCATGTTCCACAGCAGAAAAGGGATCACTGACATCCCATCCATCAGGGTATGCTGGGACCACATCTATATGTGCAAGCAGCATATATGGCTGTAATTGAGGGTTAGATCCCTGGATGGTGAATAGATGGCTGTAATCTCCGATGACTTCATGTTGAATGAATGAGGTAGAAAACACTACAGGAAAAACTTCAGGAAAGAGAATTAAACAAAGTTAGCCACTGGATTTAATTTTGAAGTTACTGTGTGTTGGGTAAAGAGGCCAGACTTTTAATGAATGGCATGTATAAAAGAATAGTGGATGATATAATATATTTGGAAAATGGTTAACTGAAATATGGGAGAAAGAAATTGTTTTTGTATTTCTGTATGTAGATGAACTGTTTTTAAAGCAAATAATATAAATAAGAAAAAAAGTTTGAAATTATTCTTTTCCCTCTTTTATTCACTGGGGAACAAAAAACAAGTATATCCTAGCAAACATAACAAATGTTCCTCTTGTGACCAGAGTAGTGACAACATCTGCAATACAATAATCCTATTTATATTGTTCCTGCATCAGCATTTATTATCTTACTCTGAATATATACAGTACATAGCAACCTTCAGATGCTCAAAGTTCTACTCATACTTTATCTCTGAAGCTGCAATAATCTAAAGTAAACCTAAAGTATCATCCTTGTGTTGCAGTTAGATGAATAAACAACACTTTGCCATCATAACAGCAAGAAACGGGAACTTGGTGCAAAGAAAATCACCTAAGAAAATTACTGATTAAACAACAGGGAACCAAATTTATTTCCTAAGAAAATTTAATGCCATGCTATTTCTCCATGCCTGAGAGAAAGTGGCTTATTTAAAGCAGCCATATTGATTTTTTTAATTGAACTGATTTTAGAACTTTGCACTTTCTGGTTCAACCCATGAGGTTTAGGTTGCAAGGAACTAGGTATATTGAAATAAATAGGACTTAATTTCTCAGTAATATGTGGTGGTTCCCCCCCCTCCCAAGAATACTTAAAGCTGTCTGTCTGTCTGTCTGTCTGTGTGTCTGTCTGTTTCTGCAGCTTTCCTTTTAGTTTCTTTTATAGAGTCATACTAGAGGTGGGTTGCTGCTGGTTTGGCCCAGTTCAGCCGAACTTGTAGTTGCGATGGTGGGAGGCTCCGGCCACCCGCCCGGACATGGACGAGCGAACCGGTAGTAAACCGCTGAGTAACCCCCCACTGAGTCATACCATTAATCCACTGTTGTCAGTCCTGTTTATACTATCTTGTTTACACTATATGTCCCACTTAAAATAACATGATTTGTTTGGCTTAAAATTTTATATTTATGTTATACACAAACCAAATATTTAGTTAGAATCCATAACATGTAGCTTAGCATTGTGAATCCAACAAAACAATTAACGCTGGTCATAACTTAGTATAGTATTTCTGCCAACCACTGATTGAAAGGGATCTTATTTCCCCACTTACATTAATATTAAACTGGGAGAATTCATCATTAAATATACATGTTTACTCTTTCTGTGAATTGGTGTAATTTATAACAGAATGATAACTCCTATTGAAAAACAATATTAAATTATTGTTCAAATACATATTCATTTTTTAAAGAATCCTTATTTTCTTCACAGATAACATCTATAATAACACTTATAACCACCAACACATTTTTTGTCAATTGAACTTTATTAAATAATGAACCATATTTTTTCAGTTTGGTGCTTCAGTTCTATCAAGAAATAAACGCAATACAATAATTATATTTTCTATGCAATTGGTAGCATTATCACTAATAAAAACAATTTTATTATTTATTTACATTTAAATACCTTTGTAAATATATGGCTCAAATTCTTCCAGGGCTGTTATATTCTGATCATCTGGTGAGAAGGAAACTGTTTGTATTCTGACAGCACCTTTTGTAAAGGATAAAGCATTTTTCAAAATGCTCAGATAATATTTGAAAAGAGTAACACAGATGGACAACTGCACCCATTAAAATGTCTTAAAGATACACTTATATAAGAAACCATCATTATCAATTGAAAAGCTCTAGTATCAATTATAAGAGAGCATTTGTGATAATATTGAACAGTCATGTAAGGGCTTTGTACATTAAGATGGGAGCACATCTCTGGGCACAAATCCATCAGAAAGATCTGCACTTGAGAATTCAGTTTATTGCGATTCATGTATTTGACAGTATGCCACACTAATAATAGGCTCTGAAAAGCTTAAAATAAAATATCAAATACATATTTAACTTCTCCAACAGGTGCAAAATGATTTAAAAATCCATAGGGCAAAATAAAACACAGAAGAACAAAGCATACAGAAGTTGTAAGAGACTGTACAGTAAGCTACCGCCATATCCTTAATACCCCCCCCCCTCAAAGAAGAGATACAAAAACCGAGGAGATTTTACCAGGTTCTGAAATCTACTGGCCTTCCTAGATTTGATCCCCCCAACCATGGTTTGGAGCAAGCATGAAAAAAACTTGCCTCCCTGAAACCTCATGGGAAGATGGAAATCAATCAGGAAGATTGAATGTGGAATAAATGATATTATCAAGGTAATTGGGGATCCAAGCCTCAAAAGACTTTATAGGTATTGACAAGCATTTTGAATTGTATTTGGAAACTTGCCAGAAATTAATGCAGTTCATGCAAAATAGGTGTCACTCTGCTGTTCCTGCAAAACAGTTTTCATTCTCTAATCTGCCTGGTTAGCAAATAGGCAATTGCATATTGTTGTCAACTGTTCTTTCCAAGTAAGTAGAAGTTATAAAGCACCTCAGTTAGTTCTAGCAATGACGAACTGATGGCATGCAGCAAAATCATTGTGCAAATATGCACTTGTATCCTGATGTGGGAGGGAAGTAAGTACATTGTGATGTTACAGCACATGTTTCATCACTATGTTAGCAGCCTAAATAGAGCATTATGTGAAAGCATGGGTATCCAACCTTTTGGCTTGCCTGGGACACAATGAGTGAAGAAGAATTGTGTTGGGCTGCATGTAAAATATATAACATACTTGATCACTAAGAATCACATAATAATGTTAAAAGTTTATGATCTTGTTGGGCCACATTACTATCTGTTCAGTGCCCCTTGCAGCCTGTGGGTTGACACGCCTGCATTAAAGCATCTGCAAAGTGTTAAGGGCACGGGTGACTAAAATATCTCCTTTTGGGGCAAAAGTTAAAATGACAGCTCCAAATAAACTAAGAGTTATTTAGTGACTGAATGGTGACTGCCTGGAAGATTGAATGTGCTTTCCCAACCCACCTGTAACTTGAGGAAGGAAAGAAGAGGGGAAATGAATCCATCCCCAAGTCCTGCAGGGTGCAAAGCCTGCCTTTTATAACAAATCAAATCATACGAATACTGTATTTTCTGATATATTTGTGTCTACAAATGGAATGCCTATAGGTATTATATAGACAGAACGATATACAAGGGTAAAAACCCCAAAAGTGATTTTATTCAAAACGATACATCGTGGAGCCTCCAAAAAGCTAGTGTTATTCTGGGCAGAATATAAAGTTGTGTTACGCATTCCGATTGTGAAAGAGTATCAGTAAAGCAGGAGTTGTAGCAGAGGTAACTGCAGCAGCAATAGACTTTCAGTTCTAAGCGGTTACTCCGGGGCAGGAGATCTGCATATTGTACCAAATCATTTAAGTCAATAACAGAGGAAAACACAATTTAGTCTAAAAGACGTAGACAAGGCTATAATTTTGCTCTCGAAACACTAACTTCCTATTAAAAACAGGGAAACATTTACTTTTAAGAAATGACTGCTTTTACACCCAATTCCATCTTTGCTTCTTTTTCTTTTCTTTTTTACCTTGGAGCACCTCCTTGAGCTCTTGCAACTCGCGGGGACTAAAGGCAGCCTCCACTCGCCTCTGCCGTCCCTGCTGCTGCTTTCCCCGCAGTCCTAAGGCCGGGACAGAAGGTCGCGTCCCATAGGCTCGGAGAAGCATCGCGATCAGCAGAACCGACACTATCCCGCACAGTCCCAAGCCAGCCCCGCACAAGACGCCCCGCAGCCGGGCACCGAAGGTCGCCATTTTCCTGCGTCTTGGCCCAGCCGCGTCGGGAACTTTGACAGGCAGGCGCGGCTTCTAGCCAATCATTGACGGAGCTGTTAATTTATCACCGCGGCGGGAAATGTGACTTGGTAAGGCTTTTTTTGTGCAGTTCGCGGGTAGTCCCTCGCACTTAGTGGGAGAAGGGAATCTCAATTGACTCGGTTGATGGCATTTAGAAATGGCCCCTAGATGATTAAGGGGCTAATACAGATAGTCATCGAACTTACAACAGTTCGTTTAGGGACTGTGCAAAGTTATAAGTGAAAAAAGTGACTTTTGACCATTTTTCACAGTTAGGACCTTTGCAGCATCCCTATGGTCTGATCAAAATTCAGACTTGGCAACTGACTCATATTTATGATGGTTGCGGTGTCCTGAGGTCATGTGATCCTCTTTTGTGATCTTATGACAAGTAAAGTCAATGGGGAAGCCAGATTCACTTACCAATCGTGTTACTAATTTATCAACAGCAGTGATTCACTTAACAACTGAGGCAAGGAAGGTCATAAAGTGGAGCAAAACTAATTTAACAAATGTCTCAACAACAGAAATTTTGAGCTCAATTGTGGTTGTAAGTCGAGGACCACCCATAGCTGTTTCTTATGGCTTGTGAATGCTCCATCTTTCTGTCAAATAATTGGGCTAAAGACAGCGTCTTGCTGTCTTTACTTGCAAACACCCTGCCAGTTATTCTTTCATGTTGCTCTGGTGATTGCAGCAGGTTAGACCAACGTGATTAGAACTTGCTGGGATACCACAAGCACAAGAGAAGGCCTTACTGCAGTCAAATTGGGAAACCAGTTGCACTACTTTCTAAATAAAGATGCAGGGACTGGTCCATGAAATCACCAGAAATCCACTTTGGACTGAATGAGAGTTTACTATTTATACACACTCAACATGACTTTGAGACCAGAAATTTTAATAACATTCTTATAGCTGTACAAGACAAAATCTAGTTAATTATCCAGAATTCAATGCATGTAACATTTTGAAGAAGTCAGTCTTTATTTGCTCTAATTTCAAATTCTACTTTAATTGATTTCAGAACCACTGGGTGCTTTTCTCCATTAGCATTTTTAAGATAAACTTTTCATATGGTAGAACTAAACTTTGGTATATTAAGAGACTTTTTAAAAAATATCCTTTGGTTTGGGCTATTCACATGATGCGTATCATATGCTGTGTATATCATACACTTTACAGAATTATCCTGGTGGAAGAAACAATCACAACAAAAAACTATCCAACATCAATAGTCACTTGCATCATTTACATTTTTATATAAAATTATTTTGCATTTATAAAACACAATTTTAAAAACTATCTTTGCTTAGATTAACTAGTTAGGCAAACCTGCCTGAGAGGTAGATTCTCTTCATTGTGGCATAATTTAAAAAAACCCTTGAGAATGTTTGATTAGTTTTAAACTGCTTGAGAGGAATCAGATGAATCAGTTCTTGAATTGAGTCCTCTGACTCATTTAAGAATCCTTTAGTCCAGACTGTATGCAAGGCAAAACTTGAGCACTAAAAAAGTTTTAATCTAAATTATTTTAATGTTATACTTAGGCAGTACAATTTACTATGTCTGTGCAAAGCAGGGACATTAGTGGGGAGTCAAAAATGTCAAGATGGCAGCAGTGACTACACAATTGAGACTTTGCCCCTTTTAAATATGCATTTATGCAATCTATGTAAAAAGGCTGGCCTCTGATTGTGTCATTGTGACCACCATTTTGATTTTTTGGGAACCCTTCCTGAATGCCCTAGGTACAAAGCATTCTACAAATGTTTGGCGCTTTGTGCCTTCAAATGTGTTAGACAGCTTTACACTTCTGTATCTTTTTCTGAACACAATACACAGGACTGGTAATCAGGCTGAAAAATAATTGTTTCTTACAGAAATTTTATTTTTCAAAATGAAGCTAAGGTAAATTTGCTTAGTTTAGTTATTAAGAACAAAAGGCTACAATACCAATAATAATATGGAATAACCTTGAAATTTATAAACGCAAGTATAATAAAAATGTTACAGGTAATCCTTGACTTCCAACAGTTCATTTAGTTACTCTTCGAAGTTACAATGGCACTGAAAAAGTGACTTATGACCATTTTCACATTTATGACCATTGTACCGTCCTCATGGTCATGTGATCAAAATTCAGACCTTGGCAATCAACTCATATTTATGACTGTTGCAGGGTATTGGGATCGTGTGATCACCTTTTGCAACCTTCTCACAAAGTCAATAGGGAAGCTGGAGTCACTTAACAAATGTGTTGCTAACTTAACAACTGCAGCGATTCACTTAACAACTGTGGCAAGAAATGTCATAAAATGGGAGAAAACTCACTTAACAAATGTCTCACTTAGCAACAAAAATTTTGGCCTCAATTATGGACATAAGTCGAGGACTACCTGTATTAGAATAAATTAATGTATCTTCTTTGGTTTTGTTTAATTAAACCTATGTCAAATAAGTTTAATTTTGAAAAAAATTCAAAGAACATTAGAAATGCTTTATGTACATGAAATATTTTCATCCTCTAAACATAAACACATTTTTCAGAAGAGAGAGAAAAAGATCAGAGATAGATGTCATTTATAATGAAAAAGGAAGTATTACTTCTAGGCAATATAGTAATACATGTTAATGATGTATAAGAAATATAGTAGTAGGTTGCAATGAACAGAATTAGAAGAAGGCTAGGCATCATCATACTTGTGTTTAGTGTGGAGTCTATGCAACGAAACAATCGCCCCTCCTTGTGAACTGAAACTGCCGCAATTTGTGAGCACTTTATCTGGCAATCAAACATTTTCCGTATTTTCCTTTGTTTTCCCTCATAAGAACAATGCTGGAGAATTAGTAGATATGCATGCCTGCTACATGCATACTTATGGCTCCATAAATAAACAGTGTAAGAAGAGATATTCAAGCTATCCTTCTGCTTCTTCTAGATGGATGAAATATATTCCCTGAGTTTCTTCCTTCCATGTCAACTGTTTCAAGAGTCAAGTGCTCTGAGGTTCATAATCCAAGAGGAATTATAGAAGAGAATACCAGGTCCGAGAGACATTCTGTCCTCAGTGCTATAGAAGCACCCATGGCCCCTTGCTAGAAAGGCCATCTCCCTTGCCATTCAGACACAGGAACCTTCATAAGAAAACATCATAAACAAATAATTTGCTATCACAGGAATGTTCCTGAGTTGCTCACAGCGCTGTTTGTGTTTCCGAATGAAAAATGCTTCCAAACATTTCCTACAAAAAAAATGGAGGTTTTAATTATAAACTGATGCCAACATTACTAACAATGTGTCACAAAATTACATTCAAATCCAATGTATGTTTGGACTATGGCTTATAATAAACTTTAGTTGTAATTAAGTTATGGCATTGACCAGTAGTGGCTAATTTTTTCTTTTGATTTTGGAGAAACAAATATTAATTCTGTTTGAATTTAATCATTATGAATTCCTTATTTCTTATGTTTAGATTTTATTATCTGTTTACTCATAGTTGTGTGCTGCCTCAATTTACAAATTTTAGGCAGTTTATACTATAGTAAAATACAGAAGCAATTCATTATAAAGCAATATAATCCTGAACAAGAAATAGAATAGTTAACATTTCACTTTAACCATCACTGAATTCAACCACAGCATGGTAACACTGATTACTGGAAGGCCTGTGGGAAGACCAGTGTTTTAACTAGTGTCCTAAATATTAATAGGGACATCTTGAGTTTAGGGAGGCAACCTGTTCCAGATGAAGGAAGAGATAGCAGGGGCTTAAGTCCCACTCCATCTAATTCAGGAGTGGTATTCAGCAGGTTCTGACCAGTTCTGGAGAACCGGTAGTGGAAATTTTGAATAGTTCAGAGAATTGGTAAATACAACCTCTGATTGGCCCCGCCCCCATCTATTCTCTGCCTCCTGAGTCCCAGCTGATCAGGAGGAAATGGAGATTTTGTAGTAACCTTCCCCTGGAATGGGGTGGGAATGGAGATTATATAGTATCCTTCCCTTGCCACGCCCACCAAACCATGCTACACCATACTCATCAAGCCATGCCCAGAGAACCAGTAGTAAAAAAATTTGAACCCCACCACTGATCTAATTCCCTTACAGTAAGCACGATTGGGATGGGCAGATATGAATCAAAACAGAGGTCTCATCCCTTTCTCAAGCCATGCAAGCCAGAGAGATAATCACCAACCACCTTGAATTGCAATTGGAAGCAAATTTATATCTATAAATAATGTAATTCCTGCAACGGACTAAGTGTACTAACTGAAGTTTCTGAATGTGTTCAGTAGCAAACCACATACAACAAATTGCAACAATTCAAACATGACAGATAATAGAGAGTACATCTGGCAGAGGAGTGAGTCAGTGTCTTCATTTAATATCATTTTGTTCTTTTAACTGACCTCTTCCAAATTTTGGAATTCAGCACTGCTATCTTCCAGAGATTCATCTGAAACAGAGACTTCGATCTGATTTGACCTCTGAGTAGGAAGAAAGTTGTTATTGTTTACAAGATTAACATATGACAATAAAGCTTCAGAGTCTATTTTTTTTATCAGCATAAGATTCTACGTGATATCATTTCTCTTTTTTGAATTGTTGTTATGTATCCATAAATGGAGATGCGGTGGCTCAATGGCCAAGATTTCTGAGCTTGTCGATCAGAAAGGCAATTTGGTGGTTCGAATCCCTAGCGCCCCATAACGGAGTGAGCTTCCGTTACTTGTCCCAGCTTCTGCCAACCCAGCAGTTCGAAAGTAAAAATGCAACTAGAGAAATATGGACTACCTTTGGTGGGAAGGTAACAGTGTTCCGTGCGTCATCGGTGTTTAGTCATATTTTTAAAGAAAATAAAATCAGGGTATGAAATAAAGTAATAAATATAACTAAATAAGTGAATTATTTGTACCTGTTCTAGGACAGAATGACAAGGAGCTCTGCTGCTGTTCATTGTTGCAAACAAAACAGCATCATGGATGGACACAAAGAGGTGACAAGGCTCAAGACCTCCTTCTTCAAAGACTCCACCAATGCGAATATCATCGTACACTTGAGCTAATGAAAAAGACAAACTTAAAATTACTGATTGCAGCTCATTTCTTTTTCACTAACTACTGTTGGAGAGGGATTTCCAAAACCTTTAAAGTAAATTAAGTAAACCCTATTGTTGCTTCCATCTGAAGCCCAAATAGATTGAACAGGAAGACTGAAAGATCTGCACTGCCCCTACCTGGCTAATGAGCTTATTGAGCAATATATTCAAACAGAGTTGATTTTACATAGCAGAACATTTTTCAGGGAACAGAAAAAACCTGTACCACTTAGGACTGGCTAGATAACCTTCCTTCTTTGAAAGAAGATAAATTTTAGCTCTGCCATGATAGTCAGTCAGTTGAGCATTTTGAAATTTTTTAAATTGTTCCTCTCCATATATGTTACTTTTGGAAGCCTTGTACTGTATAAACTGCTTTATGAACCTGATTATTCACCTGTGGTTGAGTTTAAACTTTGAAGCTATCTTGCATTTTAAAAATAACCTATACAGCTCATATGTTTGTGCATGTGTATTACTAGAAGGCTACCTCAAGTACTTTGATTTCATTTCTTCTCTTTTCAGGAGCTAGTATTACTGTAAACGTTTTCTTTGTCCTAGGTCACTAAAAGTCTATTTAAAGTATTTTTGCCTTGAAAAAAAAGCCTTTGAGTCAATGTAATTTTATCAGTTTTTTGTATATTTTTTAATTCTAAAAAAACCAGAAAATAGCAAAATGAAACTATTGCTTGAACTGTGATTTTTACAGTCCCTGGGCTATACTATATTGCATGTGTAAACCTACATATGATATGATATAGTAAGTGAACATTCAACTTTTGATATTTGCCACCAGAAATGGTTCGGCTTCGTGTTAAATGGAAGTCAAATGAAGTTAGGTATATGGGTTTGTCTCTTTACCAACAATTACCAAGTAGCTTGTTCTATCAGCTTTGTCATTAAAGTTCTTAAAATATTAAATATCTATATTTCCCTTATTCACCACCTTTTTCAATTGTTTTATTTGTCTTTATATATTAAACTCTGAAAACATGGCTTCCTTATTAATCTGTAAACCACCCTGGATATTTTTCAGCTCTAACAATATCGCATTTTAAATAAGTAATAAAGAATAAAATTCTTACCAGGTATATTTGCAAGAAAGACCTTAATCCCAATCCTTTGATAGTTGGTACATAGCTACACAAGAAGACAAAATGAGACAGTGGTGATGGATTGATTTCAAATAGTTGTGGCCTTAGCATTTACAAGCATTCATTTAATGTGTAAGTATTAGATATAATATGTTAAGCTCTTTTTTTTTCTTAAAAAAAAAGAAAAGCCAAAGACAACACAGCACTGAATTTTCCAAAATGCTCAGTTATTAATGATGCAATATATAGTCTAAAACCAAATAATTAGAATGGGAATGGAAATCATAAGACTCACTTTTATTTATAAGGTATATCTTTGAAAATGAAAATAATATTGTACTTGGCATATAGAATTGAAGCCACAATCTGCATCTCTTTATTCTGTGGCTTGCTATATAGCAGTGGTCCCCAACCCCCGGTCCGCGGACCGGTGCCGGGCCGTGGAGTACCTGGCACCGGGCCGCGCAGCGGCCGGGGGCCATGATAGCTGATCTCCCCCCCCCCGCCCTCTTGCTCTGCTCGCCCCGGGAGGGAGGGGGCGGCGGTGGCGGCCTCGGCCCGAACTTGGGATGCT